GGGGAGTCTACCCTTTTCCAGTCCCTAAATTTTTAGATCCCCCCAAATTTCCTCCAACCAAGTCCCAGTGATAAAGCAAAATTGAACTTATTCCGATTTATTAACTCCTCAACCTTTACTATCTTGGGTGCCAAGGACATAACTTTGGTGACCATTATTTTAGGAACAAAATAAGAACTGTTTCTTGATGACGATGTTTGTATATGGGATCCCTGTATTCCCGAAACCCGAGAATAAGTTCGCGCATGGTAAAACAATCCAACCAGCACGGGTGAGTGATCAAGCTTGATGATATACATGAATATGGATGGCAACAAAGGGCCTAAGGGTTATGCATTCAGCAGACTTCATCCGTCAGGTCTACATTTTGAACATATTTCATCCAAAAATCATTGTACGTGCGAGCCTCTTCTGAGGAACTGCCCTCGCCGATCCATTGCTGGTAAGAGCTCCTGTAATGAACGTCTGAGTATATCTGTGAGGATTTTACTAGTCTTAATATAAAACGATTAAAGATGGTATGTTGTTTGCGACTAGAACCTTCTTCAGTCATTTCATATTAAGGCTGTAAGTTACTGACTTCTTTAGATAATACACAGACTCTTTCCTAACATATCGCACAGTTAATCTCTCACTTGTATGTGTTTTCTGCATMAAAAAAAACTTTACCTTGGTAACATTTTAAGCTCTAAATACCCTGTAAGTTTTWTTCATTATTCGGATGAAAAACTCCATTGTGTACTGCTATGAATTTRACTCTTTGTTCACAAAGTATGTTTATAAGCTAATACATAGTATTGGATTTTTTATTRATTCTGAAGACTGATTGTTTGAGAGTAGAATATTTCTTTTTTTTACTTTTCATCATTCTATATAGTGATCATAAGAAACAATGCAGAACAAATTACGACAGACAGGGATCATCTATCCATCGAGTTAAGCCGCGGCTACACGAGCGAATTTTCGCTTTCGCAGGCCGCGCGATTTTCTCAAAATCACCAGCGCACGATGTGGCTACACGAGCTACAAAACTTTATCGATAAAAATCCTAACAAATACTTATTTGAATCTCTATGAAGAGATATATGTTCAAAAACAGCTCAAATTCGATGTTCAGCTTTCATSGTACCCRAAATTCGCGTCGTCTGCGCAAACGAAAMATCGCTCGTGTAGCCGCGGATTTAGACGTTGATGCCACTTAAATTAATGAAACAATGTAATAGGAGAAACAATACAAAGAAATTGAGTCGTTTCTAGCTTTAAAAAATCTAATTGCAGACGTTTCGATCGCAACTGCGTTGTTCTTCAGTGCATCGGAAAAATGCAAAGTATGCAAAGTATGCAAAGGCACTGCACTGAAGAAGATCGCATTTGCGATCGAAACGTGAAAACTGTGATAAGTTTCTTTTAAAAATTTTCATCCAAGGAAAAATAATAGCCAACCTCTAGTTTCCAGCCTCATACATGTTCAAATGGGTCTTCAAATCCAGAATCCCCGCTCTTTGCCCCGCTTCGAAAACAATTAATCAAAATCCCGAGACCCCCCGGAGCAATCTTGTTCACGTTCAATCACGTTCAAAACGCGTCAAGTACCCGTTCAGTGCCCCGCTATTCCAGGGCAGCTTCAATTGACTAGTGCATAACTATATTAGTTAGTGAGGTACTGAAAATTACTTAGTGCGTTACCAGAGTGCAGTAGGGTACTGAGCGTATCGTACCGTAGCAAAAGAACTCATCAGCTTTTTACCTTTTCGATTGGAGAAGGTAGGCTATAATCGCAAAGGGATCTCAAGATACGAAAGATATCAGTGAATTTAGTAAATTTATATGAGTATAGTCGGTCTTTCAAACTTATATAACATTTATGATATCATCAATAATATCAACAATAATTTCAAAATGTTACGGCGTTGTCGGCTGATGCCCTTAAAAAACACATGAGTAAATAAAGTTGAATTTCGATTGGCTATCAGATGTACATGAATCAACGATGTTAACGACAGTGGCAGACACAAACAAACAAAATGTTACGTGACATATCTGTGACATAAAAGTCACCCGAACTACTGTATTTTGGGAATATGCTCCCGCAATCCCGGGAGGGGGACTCCCTAATATCAAAGGGCGGGGGTCCTCGGCGGAGATTGTGAAAATGACCCCTAAAAGGGACCTCTATTGTGAGATGATGGGCGTGGCAGTGCTGAAATTTAAACCCTAAAAGGGACCAATCAATAACAGGTCATTCGGCTCGTATTGAGTTTATGACGACGTTGCCATTTTATGACTGCTTAGGGTCGCCGTATACCCTAAAAGGGACCACAAAACACAGTTGGTAGGAATTCTTGTCATGATCACCCTAAGCGGGACCAAAATACTGATTTCAAACCCTAAAAGGGACGCCGAGGACCCCCGCCCTTTGATATTAGGGAGTCCCCCCCC